AAATATATATTTAATATATATAATAATTATTATTTAATATATTATTATAATTAATTATAATAAAATAATTATAAAAATGTAATAATTATATAATAATATATAAATATATATAATATAATAATTATATAAATAAAATATATATTTTATAAATAATTATCTTTGTATATATATACATATATAATTTGGACTGGCAGGATTCGAACCCGCGACACCGCGGTTACGAATCGGTGACTGTAGCACCGCACTACAGAGCCGTTCTTTAATAAATATATATGAAGATAATTATTAATAAAAAACATATGCAAGATTAATATATTAATTTAATGATTTATTATAAATTTGTATCATTATGAATATAATTGATAAATAATTCAAACTAAATTGTCAAAGTATTCTATCTGAAAAATGGAAAAAATATGTTGAACAATTAGATTACCATTTTTTGTAATAACCAATAGTTAGTCGAGTTAACTTGTAAATTTTTCATTTACATATTTACAGATGACACAAGGTTGAAACATTTTCTATTCGGTTGTAAAAATAGCGTAGAACGATGCAAACAAATACTTGAAAAATATTTCAGCGTACGTACAGCATTGCCAGAATTGTTTACCATTCGTGATCCATTGTCGCAAGAAATTCAAGATTGTTGCGAAACCATGTAAGTATTGTTTAACTTTAAAAAAAAAAAAAAAAATACATTTTTTCTTATTATTTTTAAATAATTATGATAAATAGAAAACACAACTGAATCTAATTTTTTTTAAAATTCATTCGAATAATGACATGACACAAACAACATCGACAAAATATTACTAAACAAACGTAATATTAATTAACATTTATATTACACGAGATATAACAATTCTACGATATGTCAAAATGTTAATTAATAAAACAAAAACAAAAAAAGATAAGATCATTATGTATTATTCATTTGTATAAAATGAATGCACTCACACAAACTCTTACATGTAAATAAATTTGCATGTTCAATTACTTACTACTACACTCGTATTAACATTAATCATACTAATGGTTTTTATTTCATTATTTTGTTGACAGGCAATATTTCGTATTACCGTCATTAACTAAAGAAGGATATCGAGTTACTGTTTTTAGATTAGTTGACACGGATGTTGACAAATTTACCATTCAAGCGATAGCTAAAAGAATTTTAATGGTACAGGATATTCGTATAGTTGAAGAACCATGTTCATCTAATGTTATGATTATTGATTTTGAGGTATGTATATCCAATCATTGAATTATTTAAAAAGAACAATAAACAAAAAAATGATCAAACATTGTACAATAATATTTAATAAATATATATATATTTTTATTTATTTATTTGATTAATTGTTTAAGTAAATTTTGTATTATATTCGAGTGAAATGTCAACAGATAAATATGAAATTAAAATGATAATTATTTTTCTAGGGTTTTACTGCAGTACACATTGCTAAATGTAGTCCAACTCAAACTATAGTAAGACGAGCAATGTTGGCAATACAGGATAGCATGCCAATGCGACTTTACATGATTCATTTTTTACATGCACCTAATTTTATTGCTAACGTTCTTAATCTATTTTATCCACTGCTTAAAACAAAATTAGTTGAAAAGGTATGTTCATATACAAATTGTTTAAATGTTTCTATTATAATACTTTTTTTATTTTAAATTGTTGGTATTATAAGAATAAAATAATTATTATTAATTTAATAAAATCTTATTAGGATTATATAAATTATATAATTTTATTTAATTTATTATGTTAATTATATTAATAAAATAAATATAATTAAAATTATATTTATATATTTACAATAATATATTTTATAATGTTATTATTATATTATTATAAAATAATTATTATAAATATAATAATATAAAATAATTATATAATTATTTAATTACTATATTAATTATATTATTATATTATTTATTTATAATTTTAATAATATATTAATATAAATTTATATAATTATAATAAAATAATTTAAATAATTTATATAAAATAATAAAATAATAAATATAAACTTATTTATAATTTTAATAATATATTATTAAATGTTAATTATATTAATATATTATTTTTTAAATATTATATATATTATTAAATAAAAAATAATAATATATTATAATTATATAATTAATATAATATAAATATATTATATTAATATAATAATATTAGGTATTATTTTTATAATATTTTCCTAAAAAAAAAATATAAAAATTATTAATACTAATTTATAAATAAAAAAAAATAAAAAATCCTCTTTCAAAAAATTTGTTGTATCCTTTTATAAAAATAACCAAAAATAATTGAATAATTTTGTTCCAGTTTCGTATACACTCGGGTGGTGGTGAAGAATTGTATTCTTACATGGATCAAGAAATTTTACCAAACGAATGGGGTGGCAAAGCTGGTACATTTGCTGAACTTAATGGTACACCTATTTGTATTTTATTTTTATTTATTTTATTTATTTTTGTATACACACGTGTACGACGTACCAATGAAATGAACTTGAAATATGAAAACTTGACTATGTTAATTAGCAATTTAATTAGTCAATACATTGGTAACGAGATAAATATGAAGAATGTAAATGAATGTTTGTAATACAAATGAAAATTTGCACAATTGCAGATGCTTGGAAGAAGAAAATTGAGAGAAACAGAGATTGGTTATTGAGAGAAGAGAAACTCAGTCGTACTGATGAGAGTTTACGTTTACCAGACACTAAACCAGGTTTTTTCTTGGAACTCAATGGCGTACAAGGTTCTTTTAGAAAATTAAATATCGATTAGAGACAAACAATTCATCAAAATTATATTATTATACGAGATAATAAATTATACTAAATTGATAAACTCTGTTTATAAAACAACAACAACAACAACAACAAAAACAATAATCCCGGAAAATATTCAATTGGTTGACAAAGTAATTTGTTTCACATTTTTTTAATATAAAACATACATAATTAATATTAATTATTTCAATAAAAAAAAAAAAAATATAAAATATAATATGTAATTTTGTATACATAATTTTTTAAAAAAAAGGAACACATTTAAAACATTTTTGATAAATAAATGTTATTAGTTGTTATTTAGAAAATATATTAGAATAAAATGGAAATTTAATAATATAAATTATTGAAAATTTGAAAATACAAATATAAATTATTGAAAAAATTTGGACATCAAAATATAAATTATTTAATATATAAATTATTTCAAATTTGAAAATAAAAATATAAATTATTTCAAATTTGGACATTAAAGTATAAATTATTAAAAAATACAAATTATATTAAAATATAAATTATTAAAAATTTGGGAATTACTTATTGAACCAATTCAATATTATTATTTATCTAAAATTTGTAATAAAAAATAATAATAATAATATTGTATCAATTACAAATACTTACATACCACAAATATGATCTCGTATTTAAACAAATATACAAAAATATCAAATATAATCAAAAAAACAATTATCCACAGGTATCTTTTCTCAATTAACAAATAATATTATAATAAAATTTGTTTAAATATCTTATCGACATTTAAATATCTACAAAGTTAGATCTCATATTCCAAAAGATAGCGCCACGATACGTCGTCTCTAGTAAAATAATAATACACTACTAGAAAACACACACAAACACACAGATACAAAATAATATTATAGATTTTATCTTCATTCAAGTTAGGTGGGTAAGTAGAGAGGTGGGGGTGAGAGAGGATTTCATTCATTGTCATTCATTAAACTTGCAACTTTAATAATCGATGTTTGTGTATGCGTTCTTATATAAATCCTATTTTTATTGATTTATAAACGACACTCATGTGTAATAAAATAATCGATATTTTATTAAGAGAAGGGAAGAAGTGGGGTAGAGGGTGGGGGTAGAATAATAGAACGAAGTTTAATATAGTTATAAATAATAAAAGAATAATAAAAATCAAACGTTGAAATTATCCTACAATTTTTTATCAAAAATAAAATATAAAAATAATATTGGGATCTGTAGCACTTGAATACGCTATCTGGTGGCTAAATTCAAAATTAGAGTAGATAGGTCGAATTTGACTACGCCACGTGGGATCTATAGCATTTGAATACGCTATCTGGTGGCTTAATTCAAAATTAGAGTAGATGGGTTGAATTGCTACACTACGTGGGATCTTTAGCACTTTAATACGCTATCTGGTGGCTTAATTCAAAATTAGAGTAGATAGGTCGAATATGGCTACGCCACGTGGGATCTTTAGCACTTTAATACGCTATCTGGTGGCTAAATTCAAAATTAGAGTAGATAGGTCGAATTGCTAAGCCACGCCCCTTCCAGAGATCCCAATTCGTAAAATGTTTGAATGTAAAAATTGATATACTGAAATGTTATTAATAGATAATAATAATAATAATAATAATAATAATAATATTAAAAATAAAATTGTTATCACTGATAATATTACGAAAGTAATGTTGAACATTTTTAGGTATCACACACACAATACACATATATTATATTTGTATAATATATATGTAACTTAAGTGTGTATAGGTATATATATTTATTATAAAAAGGTTTATTATTTATGAAGAGTTTGAAACAACTATAACGACAAATTATTGAGCTTTTGCTTTATGAATTGTGACGACATTTACAACGATGTCAACTGGACATCTTTTGTCCTCGCTTAACTAACTTAATAACCTAATGATGGTAGACTTCGTTCCATAACAGCATCATATAAGAATTCTCTCCATTATATACATATGTATGTGTGTATAAACGATATACACATATACAGAAACAGTGTTACAATTATAACAATTTTAATAGATAATAATTATTGAATAATATTGAATTATGATCAAATATTGTTTATTTTTATTTAATCATGAATTGATAATCATATTTAAAAAAAATATTATACAGGGTGATTCACCAACACCATGTATACGTGTACATGAATATTAAATGCAGATATATGTAAATACATTTTTTTTAGTTTACTTTTTGAACGATCATGTTTCTTTAGGATACTTGTAAGTAGAACTATGACAAAGTATCCAATCGGACAAATTTATCTTTAATAGTTTCGGTCACGCGAGACTGATATTTGTGATTTTACTGGAATTTAGTTTTTATGTAATTGTATGTAATTGTTTTCGCGTTTTATTACAACAACTTTAATTTGACAAATAATTATCTCAACATATTAAAAAAAAAAAAAAAAAAAAAAAAAAGGAAAGAACATATATCATGTTATTATTAAAACTTTCGTCTATAAAATAAAGTTTTATCATTTAAACAAATTATAATTATATAATTATTGATATTAGAGATATTAGAGATAACTTTAATTTGATAATAAATTTCTTAACATATTAAAAAAAAAAAAAAAAAAAGGAAAGAATATATTGGGAACTTTAGCACTTCAATACGCTATCTGGTGGTTAAATTCAAAATTAGAGTAGATAGGTCAAATTGGTTATTCAAACAAATTGTAATTATATAATTATTGATATTAAAGATAACAAAACATTTTGTTATAACTTTAATTTGATAATAAATTTCTCAAAATATTAAATAAAATGAAATAATTTATATATATCATATTATTATTATTAAAACTTTTTGATATATAAAATAAATGTTTTAATTTAAATAAATTATAAATAAATAATTATATAATTATTGATATTAAGAATAACACACAGTAAAAATATGTTAATGGCATTTTTAATAATTTAATAATTAAATCGAAATTCACGTAAACATATTCTAAAACATGTATTCACATAAGACACGCGATCATCATTATTTAAACATTTCAAAATGATTCAACAAAACGATGTCCGAAAGTCATCTCTAGTTTATTTCTTCTTCTATATTTTTCTCTCTCTCTTTCTCTCTCTTTCTCTCTCTTTCTCTCTCTCTCTCTTCGTGACATTACATGTTATGTCAATTGTATACGCGGTACTTCAAACGAACGTTAATTAATCGATTAAAACAAAGTATCGTTTTATAAATAAAATTGTTTAATAATATAAAAATATATTTTTAACAATGTTTATTGAATAGAATAACGTGAAATGATTATGGGATTGTATTATTAAATTATGAATAATATTTATTTAAAAATATTCATTCGATTTGATCGACTGAAAAATAATAAATAAATACAAATAAATGATTCTTATAAATAAGATTTATTATATTTTTAAAAACCAAATTATATTAATGAAATTATTAAATTGAAATAACTTATTTTTATTATATTAAATAAAACTAAAATTAAAGTTGTAAAATTATTATTATTTTATTTTTATTAATTTAATAAAACTAAAATTAAAGTTGTAAAATTAAATAATTTATTTTTATTAATTTAATAATACTAAAATTAAATTTTTCAAATTTTAATAATTTATCTTGATTAATTGAATAAAATTACAATTAAATTCTTAAAATTATTATTATTTCATTTTTATTAAATTTTAATTATATTAAATTACCATTTCATTTTAGTAAACTAAAATTTTTTAATATATATATATAATGTGTATACATTTTAATTAAAAATTAAAGTTTTAAAATTTATTATTAAATATTACAATTCTTAATATTATTTTATATAATATATATATATATAAATTTTTTTTACGATTAATTTGTAGAAAACCAAATTAAATTGTATCCAATAAAAATAAAATACATGCACACACGATCCTATAAAAAAAAAAAACGCTCGAGCACATACAACACATACAAACAAACAAACTCATACATACACAAATAAATAAGAAGAAGAAGAAGAAGTAGATTAAAAAAAAAGTATGTATGAGAACACACACGGGGATATTATTGGTAGTCCCTGATTGGTCATACCTTTCATTCGTGTGTCAAGTTAATACAACGGTGAGAACTGAGTCTTCATTGAAGATTTGTTAGTATTGGTGGGATACAAATGTAGATATAAAAAAAACAAAGAGAAAGAGAGACATAAAGAGAGAGAGAGAAAGAAAAATAGAGAGAAAAAGAGAGAGAGAGAGAGAGAGAGAGAGAGTGTGTGTCTGGTGCACCGTGTGGCGGCAGTGCCGGCACACAGGGGTGGATTGATTTTTCCTTTGCTGACGTCACTGTGAATTCAGCATGCGCGACATGCTCGAAAACTAGGAGAGAAGAACGTTCGTCGTCGACGTCGACGTCGACGACGAGGAGGAGAACGTTCAAGCAACTCGTCGTGATAATAAAGAAAGAAAATAATAATATAAAAAATAAACGAGATATAAAAAGAGAGAAACATACAAACATACAATCATGTTTTCTCTAATACATTCTTCTCTATAACAACAAAAAAAAATAATAATATCAACTTAATTAATGAAAAATATTTTTTCATTTAATTCAAACACAATAATAGACAACAACAAAATTCGTATCGTCGGAGGAAAGTTATTGAAAAAAGAAAAAAACATATTAGGAAATTAAACAAAAAGGAAATAATTAATTTCGTTTTAATTAAAAGGAAGACTTTGCAAAATGAAACAATTCAACAATTTTACCTGTGACAATTTTTAGAAATGTGATTGGTTGTATGTAACCTGGCTATCAGCCAATTTCCATTATCCATACGTGAGAATAAAAGAGAGAGATAGATAGATAGATATAATCCAGTGTATGTGTGTGTATATATATGTGTGTGTGTGTATGTGTTCTACTGTGTGAGGGTAAAATAGGAAAAGGAGAAGAATAGAATAGAAGATAATAGAAAAAGAAGAAGAAGGAGAAGAAGAAGAAGAAGAGGGGGTAGAGAAGAGGGAAAAGGTGGAGAAAGAAGAGGGGCGTTTAAGAAAGAGAGACAAGACAATTTGGTTGCGGTTCGGGGGGTAGTCAAAGGGGAACATAGGGGTCACATCGGGTTCATTCAGTGGCAGTTTCAGTTTGCCGGGTACTCGCGGACCTGAGAGAACAAATCTTATTGGTTCTTCCCTTCTCTCATTCTTTCTATCTCTCTCTAACTGTCATTCTTTCTCACTTATATCGTTTAGTGAGACACACGTTATACACAAGCAACATCCATCTCTCTCTCTCTTTCTTATTTTATTCGTCATTTTATTCCACAATTCGACACCCATTTTTTTGTAGTTTATTTTTAAAAATTATTAAAACATTATTACACTTTTCCCACCCCTTTCTTAACTTCTCAACCCCCTCTCTCTCTCTCTGTTTTTATTTAAATGTTATTTTTATTAAATTTTAAAATATTTTCCACTTTCTCACCCCTTCTTAAATTTCTGAATTTCTTAATGCATATGTGCAAGTAGGGAGACACACTCTTGCGCTCGCGCACTTACACACACACATACGTTCTTGTATCTGTCTCTCTCTCGCTCTCTTTCTGTCTATCTATCTATTTATCTATCTATCTATCTCTATCTTTCTTTCTATCTTCGTTGAGGATTGTTCACGGACACGATACAATACAATTGAACGTAAAGTAACGTGAACAAGTCGTGTCGTTTCGTTCTATCCACTGACAGAGTGCGACAGTGCATTCTACGAACGACGACGCACACGTGCGTCGATATGACGCCGTTTGAACACTTCTTCTTCATTCTCATATTATTATTCTTCTTCTTATTATTCGATCAGCAACAGAATTAGTAACAACAGCAACAGCAACAGCAACAGTAGCAGTAGCAGCAGCAGTAGCAGTAGCAGCAGTTTTATCAACTAACCATTATCATCATCATCATCATCATCATCATCATCAGCAGCAGCATCAACTATCAGTTCTACTACTATTCGCAACGATCATTGTGCACGAATATTATTGGCTATTGACATTTTAATGAAAGAAGAGAGAATAAAAAGAAAAAAAAAGGTTGCTTGCTGATAAAAAAAAAGTACAGGTGCCTGAACGTACTTGACTTTTTAACGAAAATATATTGTGTGGGGTTTTTATTCATCATAGTGTCCTTGACACGAGACAAACGGTCACTGGGACGTTACCTACTTGATACGGACAATTCATTATTTTGTGAAGAATTATTTTAGTTTTTTCTATATTTTTTTTTTTTTTTATTAGTGTGATTTATTGTTATTATTATTATTATTATTATATTTGAGATAAAAGAGAAAAGGAAGAGAATTTATTGGAAGAAAATTTGAAAGTTTTATCAACGGAGGACATTTTTCAACGAGCAATTAGGGGTAAGTTTGTTGAATAAATAATTTATATTGAGCATACTATAGTGTTTGAAATTTTTATGATAGTTAAATAATACATATGCAATATACTTATGCAAATTAATATTATTATAATATTATTATTATAATGTTATATATTAATTACTTATATTAAATTAAGAACTAAATAATATTATAATAATAATGTATAATATTATTATAATATATAATAATATTAATTTATAAATATTATTATATATAAAAATATATAATAATATATATTATAATATAATATTATTGTATTATATATTATTATTATAATATTAATATAAATTAATATTGTTATATATACTTTTTTAAATACTTTAATATATATATATATTTGTATTTTTTTTTATTTCGTAAAAATTTGCAATCATCTACTTTTGCATCCAGAAAATCGATTTAAAAAAATAAAAAAATATTTGTATTATACTCAAAATCGATTTGAATTTACACAATACAAGTTTAGATAAATAATACGATAAAAACACACAATCTTGTTAAAAATTCTTAAACTTATACATGGGTATGTGTATATAATTTTTTTCTTTTAATTGAAACTATTACAAATCTATTTTTTCTACTAACATCTCGCATTTCCATAGATTAAAGATCAAAATGTGAAGGAACCATTTCGTTTGTAGTTAGGGTAGGACGTCTGGAACTAATGTACATATAAATATATATAATATATATATATANATATATATATATATATATATATATATATATATATATACATGTGTGTGTGTGTGTGTGTATGGGTATATATTTCGAGGTCAAACGGACGAACGTCGACCCGGTCGTTGACGAGACTCCGATCGTTTCATTGCTTTTCTCCCCTTATTTTCACCTTTACTTACATCCGTTCGAGACAACACTAATTTTATTTACATACATGGTACATATATACATATACACATATATAAATGAAAATATTATATATAATATGATATTAAAGAAATTTTTAAACATCATTTTTTTTTTGTACTTTCTTTTAATCAAATTATTGTATTAAAATAAAATCAATGAAAATGAGAATAAGTGAGAAAAAGAATGAGTACACGTGTTGTACAAGTGAAATGTGTTTTGTAAGTAGAAACGTACGTTTAAAACCAGCATGTAACAACTGTGGTCAATGATGTTAATATGTGTATGAACATGTATGTATATATACATATATATACATTTTATTTGTATACGTGTTGAAAAGAACAGAAGTTTAATTCACGTGTGTAATTTGGTAACACACAGTTGAAGTATTATATACAAAGATATTAGTTTTAATTCTATTATTATTTTATTTAATTTAATATTTCTCTCTCTTTCTCTTTCTTTGATCAAATTTATAATTGTATAATAAGATAAGGATGTGATCATAGTTTATATTTTATTTGTACTTTTAATCAATCCTTTCATAATTCATCTAAGTTAAAACTGTTCCTTGATTAACATATACATATGTATATCTTTTTGATTATATTTCCTTTATTTAAAATTATTTTTAAAAAATAAGATTGAGAGATTGAAGTTTGTTAATTTATTATAGGAACACTAATTGTAAATAATTGTTCTTTTTTATTTCTAAGAACGTTTTCTCATTCATCTGCATTCGTTGTCGTTTAGTATCTTTCATATCTTCTTTCTTTCTCTCTCTCTCTCTCTCTCTCTCTCTCTCTCTTTCCTTTTATCTATCCATCTATCTATATCTATATATATATCTTTCTCTTTCTCTTTTTCTTTCTCTCTCTCTATCTCTCTCTTTTAGCTTATATAAGAGAGTTCACAACGAATAAAAGCGTCCCTGGTTTCAATGCAGCACCGAACCTCCAATCAGCTGTACCATGTAGTACTTTACTTATTAATAGATTTTTTTTTATTATTATTATTTTTTTTTCCTATTATTCTTCTATCTTTTTTCTAATTTAAAATATATATTATAATAATGTTGATTAAAATTTATGGTAACAATTTTTTTTTATATAAAAATTCAGTGTCACGTTGTTGGTTTCCAATGAAGTTCGAATTTACTGAACCTGATTTTAATGAAAGTTTTACTTATTTTGTATAATTTTTTTTTCAATAACTTAATACATAGAATAATTTAATATAATAATATAATAAAATAATAAAATAATATAATATAAAATTATGTTATATTTTTTATTGCTCTAATTAAAGGATTTATTATTTAAAGGTTATCTAAGTTTATTGGTACCGTAAATTTTCAATAGATAGCGCTGTATTACAATTCAATTATTTGATATATATTCACGTCATATATTTTTTTTTAAATCTACATGTGACATAAGTAACTTTATTTTTATATATTTTTTCGTGTATTATTATTTTATTTATTATTTTATTCTAATTGTTATATTATTTTGTGCGTTTTGATTTTAATTTAATACACAGGATAGTATTTATAACGATTATTATTTATTTTTTCTATATCTAATTTAAGAATTGGTTATTTAAAGGTTATATAGGTCTGTAAGTTTTCAGTAGATGGCGCTGTATCACAATTCAATCATTTCACGTTTTTTTCAGGTTTTCATATGTCATACCAAACACCTTGCTTTTTATATTTTTTTTTTGGTGTTATTATTATTTTATGTATTCTATTACTAATTGTGATATTATTTTATTTATTATTATAATTTACTAAATAATTTAGAATTATATTAAATGAACATTTTATAACAAAACCATAGCAATAGGTCTAAGTTTTCAGTAGATGGCGTTGTATCACAATTCAATCATTTCACGTTTTTTTCAGGTTTTCATATGTCATACCTAACACCTTGCTTTTTATATTTTTTCGAGTATTATTATTTTATATATTCTATTACTAATTGTGATATTATTTTATTTATTATTATAATTTACTAAATAATTTAGAATTATATTAAATGAACATTTTATAACAAAACCACAGCAACGCATAGCTGACACACATGTATATTGATATCTTTCCAGTATTCTAGTTAGAATTAATATACATATATGAATCGATTAGAAACAAAAGAGAGAGAGATATATATATATATATATATAGTATGATTTTTATCAGAAATATTCTAAGCTTGCAAGTTCTAGGCTAGATTGTTGCCGCATCATCATCATCGTCTCGGATCGATCCTTTTAACGACACGAAACTCAGATCGGACGAGTAGCAATTGAAACGTCACGTGGCATCGTTAGAACTCTCTTGGATTCTATCAACTATACATCTTCATATACATATATAAAATACATATATACAAATCCTATATACGTGAACATTAGGAAATAGATTTAGGAAGATAAAAAAAAAAAATCATCCTGACGTCAAACTCTACACTTGAATTATCTTTAGATAAAACCTTTACATATAATATGTGTGGGCATTTGTGTGTTTGTGCATCAACCAATTGCATTTATATCACTTCATACGATGAACAACATTTCTGAATGAATTTCTTAAACGAGTTTGAATAATAGATGAAAATATGAACGTTTCTTTCTACGTTTCTCATTCTCTTTTTTCTCTCTTTGAAGAAGATGATCGATCGATCACGTTGTTTTCAGATATATATATAAACACAGTTTAATTTGTTTTATATTAGTATCAAAACCTTGTTAACCATAACTCAAAAGATATTATTCTGTCATACGACGATTGGACCAATAAATCTCAAAAATGACTTAACCTAACAAACAAATATTTTACTTCTGAATTTTTCATGCAACTTGTTCTGCAACCATCATGAAAAATATGGAGGGTAGAGGTAAGGAGTAACATCTCTGTATATGAAAAGTGTCCGTCGAAATGCATTCAATTAGGGTGGCGCCACAGTAGCTTGAGGATAAATTTTAAAGTAAGCGCCAAATATTATTAGAGTAAGATTGAGAAATAAACAACGAACACAAATTTCACAACACAAATTTTTACCCATCATTGTTTTGTTATTTGTCACATACTTTTTTTATAAAATTAAATGATAAAAAAAATCAATAAACGTGCTATTCACAGTTAACGAAATAAAATTACTGTAGCTACACGTTTTCTCATAATAATTCTTTAAGGTTATATTTACTACATTATTACATAACTCGGCATACTTCAATTCGTTTACAATTGCTACATTCATACTATACCTTCTATCTACACCAGCGCCATTCTGGAAGGTTTTTGAACTAGAGATGTAACTCCTTACCTTTACCCTCCATATTTTTCATGCAACTTTTTCTGCAATCATCATGAAAAAGAAAAGAATAAATATTAAATAGTTTAAAAATAGAATAGAACAATAGATAGACAATTAGATTATGGTTGTTAGATTAGATTGTGTTTGATAGTGTAACGTTGTTGGTGCAAAATTAATCGTTTCACAACTACATACGAGTATACATACATATAGGAACGTTGAGATGAACGTTTAAAAATGTCTGCTTTTGTAATTCTTCCCGTTCCGCATTACAAAACAGAACAGAATAGAACAGAATAGAATAGAATAGAACAGAACTGAGTCAACTTGTGATTAACGGATGAAAGAGGTCGACAATAAAAGGAACGTTTACTTAATTAATCTTGCTGGACAGCAGGCTGTGTGGCTCGTTGACCCCGGACCCCGCGAACTCGACATTCATTTTGTATCGTCCTTCAGAGAAAATTGATTTCTAAATGAATCAAATGAAATAGATGAAGAATAAGAAGAAAAATAAGATTACTCAACTTTCATCTTACTTGATATATTATTTTTTTTTTTATATAATTTTGTATTATAAGGTAGTTGGACAGGTCAAATTTGAATAGGTAAATTGGATGATTTATTTTGTATTGTAGCAACGTTACACTAACAAAAACAATGTAATTTAACCTTCTTTAATATTAGTATTGAAAGTTGTTTAATAAATAATTTTATATATCATATCAAATATATATTATTATAGTAAATATAATATATATAATAATATATTACTTAGGTATTAGCAATAAA